ATCCCTTTGATGTGCTTCAAGAGTCAAATTAGAACAGACGTTGCTCTCCCAATATGGTAGACCCTTATTTCAAAGATAAGAGCTTTATTGGATTTTTACACAAGTTCAGGTAAAGAAATCCAATCTTATTAGAGGCAAGAATTTGCTAGGGGTAAGAAGAAATTGGCACAACTCGAGACTTGAAAGAGTGCACGTTGATGAAGATCGCTCTTGTAGTTGGAGACCACAGATCAAGAAAACATGCATTTATACATAACACATGAATTTGTGTCATAGCATCATACATCATTTCATACATACATAATCTTCCTCATAATAATTTATGTAAAATATGCTTTGAGAAATTTTTGTCTCTCTTATGATAGTTTCCCTAGAAACTTCAATTGTGGCTTTCTGGGAACATGTTTTCTATTCCTTGACTTCCTCATGAAGAGAAGTCAACCTTGATTATTCCTGACTCCCCAATAGAGTCAATCCTTGACTTCCTTGTGAAGAGAAGTCAACCTTTGTTATTCCTGACTCCCTCTTAGAGTCAATCCTTGACTTCCTCGTGAAGAGAACTCAAACTTTGTTATTCTTGACTCCTCAGTATAGTCAATCCTTGACTTTCTAATGAAGAGAAGTCAATCTTTGTTATCCTTGACTTCTTCATGAAGATGAGTTAATCCTTGACTTTCTCATGAAGAGAAGACAACCTTTGTTATTCCTGACTCCTTAATAGAGTCAATCTTTGACTTCCTCGTGAAGAGAAGTCAACCTTTGTTATTCCTGACTCCCAGTAGAGTCAATCCTTGACTTTCTCATAAAGAGAAGTCAAACTTTATTATTCCTGACTCCACAGTAGAGTCAATCCTTGACTTCCTCGTGAAGAGAAGTCAACCTTTATTATTCATGACTCCCCAGTAGAGTCAATCCTTGATTTCCTCGTGAAGAGAAGTCAACTTTTCTTATTTGATATTCATAAAGAGTAATGAAGCAAATCAGGTTTGATTCAATCTTCCCGAAAGAGTAGTGAATTGAATCATAAAGAAAGTCTGATATCCCCGGAAGAGTAGAGGAGCATATTCTTCTTATTTCATATTTGGTCTTCCTGAAGAAGCAGCGAATCAAATCAATCTCGAGTATGATCTCCTCAGAAGAGTAGAGTCTTTTTATTTCAGATTTAGTCTTTCTGAAGAAGCAGCGAATCAAATCAATCTCGAGTCTGATCTCCCTGGAAAAGTAGAGGAGCAGATTCTTCTTATTTCAGATTTGGCTTTCATGAAAGAGTAGTGAAGCAAATCAATCGCGAGTCTGATCTCCCCGAAAGAGTAGTGGAACAGATTCTTCTCATTTCAGATGTTGGCCTTCATGAAAGAGTAGTGAAGCAAATCATTCTTGAGTCTGATCTCCCCGAAAAAGTAGAGGAGCAGATTCTTCTTATATCATATGTAGGCCTTCACGAAAGAGTAGTGAAGCAAATCAATCTCAAGTCTGATCTCCCCGAAAGAGTAGTGGAATAGATTTTTCTCATTTCAGATGTTGTCCTTCATGAAAGATTAGTGAAGCAAATCAATCTTGAGTCCGATCTCCCCGGAAGAGTAGAGGAGCAGATTCTTCTTATTTCATATATGGCCTTCATGAAAGAGTAGTGAAGCAAATAAATCTCGAGTCTGATCTCCCTGAAAGAGTAGTGGAACAGATTCTTCTCATTTCAGATGTTGGCCTTCACAAAAGAGTATTAAAGAAAATTAATCTCGAGTCTGATCTCCCCGAGAGAGTAGTGGAATAGATTCTTCTTATTTCAGATATTGGCCTTCATAAAAGAGTAGTGGAGCAAATCAATCTCGAGTCTAATCTCCCCTGAATGAATAGTGGAGCAGACTCGTCTTCCAAAATTGATCTGACTACTTGAAAAAGAGGCATAGATCAAGTCTAATCTCCTCTGAATGAATAGTGGAGCAGACCCGTCTTTCAAAATTGATCTGACTACCCGAAAAAGATGTACAAATCAAGTCTAATCTCCCTTGAATGAATAGAGGAGTAGACACATCTTCCAAAATTGATCTGACTACTCAAAAAAGAGGCACAAATCAAGCATGATCTCCCCTGAATGAATAGTGGAGAAGACTCGTCTTCCAAAATTGATTTGACTACCCGAAAAAGAGGCACAGCTCAAGTCTAATCTCCCCTGAATGAATAATGGAGCAGACACGTCTTCCAAAATTGATCTGACTACCCAAAAAAAGAGGCACATATCAAGTTTTATCTCCCCTGAATGAATAGCGGGGCATACACATCTTTCAAAATTGATCTGACTACCTGAAAAAGAGGCACAGATTAAGTTTGATCTTCCCTGAATTAATAGTGGAGCAGACACGTCTTCCAAAATTGATCTGTTTACCCGAAAAAGAGACACAGATCAAGTATGATTTCCCTTAATGTATAGTGGAGCATATTTCCATCAAATAATAAGGCCAACTGGACGAAAAATCCTTGTCTTTTTATCTTTTCTCGATTCTTGTTGACACAAAAATGAGCAAAGAGTGGCAGCTGTAGACAGTCATTTTTGTCCTTTATATATTTATTATTATAATTATGATCATTATTATTATTAATTATATTATATTAAAAATCGAATTACAAAATTAAATCGACCCCAATTTACAACCAAAAACCCGAAGCCCAATATACCCAGGTCGGTTCAAGCCCAGCTAAAAAAACCTGAAACCCTAGGGTTTTTACTTAAAGCTCTATGCACCGCCAGCCTAGATCTATCACCAGTTAGGGTTTTATAACCCTAAGTTTTCTATTACCGCCGCCGCCAGTCCACAAGGACTGTCCACCTGTTGCACGTGAGGAGAATGCGCCCAACTCCTCAAGTTACCGTCACCACCACTATAGACGCATCGACCAAATCCAAAAAAATCTGGGTGCATTTAATGCACTCAGCCAACACACCCTAGTTATCTAGCCGCCCCTAAGACAGCCACTGCGATAGCTGGTGACTCAACGAGGTTTACCCCTCCGACCGATCAAAAAGGCTCACTTTGGGGCCTATAAAAGTGTCAAACCTGCAATAAACAAGAAGAGGAACCAGTATCCATTCGAAAGAAGAAAAAAATACAACAAAGAGCAATTCGAAAAAACAAGCAATAGAGAAAAAAATATAAACATAGGGGGAGAGAGAGAGCAACCCAACAACCAAACGCGAGGGGAGAAGAGAAGAAAGTTACCCCACTGTTATCGAGAAAGTCAAACGTCACCGGAAACCACTGCTTAACCGAAGGTAAAACCCCTAGATCTAGGGATTTTGGTGATTTTTTAGGAGGAAAGAAGCTCGGATTTTAGTTTAGTGACAAATGGGCTTCTATTTGGGTTTGTTTTCCAAATTTTGACCACCGTTCAATGGTCAGCGGTACCGGTGTACGACGGTTGGCCTGGTAGCCGGCTTCCCTCCTGCGAGGGAATTAAGAGAAAAGGTAGAGAGAACGATGGATCTCTCTTTTTAGAGAGAGAAGAAAATTGAAGAAATGTGAAATAATGGCCATTCAGGGTTGGTTTGGGTATAAATACCTATTCAAAACGACGTCGTTTTGAAGAGGGTATCTAGGTATTTTGAGTGTGGGTAAATCATTCTCGCGGTCCTTGTACTTTGTAATCTTTACGATTTGGTCACTAAATTTGATTTCCATGTATGTTGATTTAGTTTTCAAATTTTACTTTGTTTCTATTGTAGTCACTAACCCTATTTATATATGCTTTGGGTAAATATTCAATTTAGTGCTTAGATTTTAATAATTTTTAGTTTAATCATGAATAGTGATTTGGGTTAAATTACAATTCCAATACCTCAATTTTGTGATGTTTCTATTTATGTCCATTACTTTTGATGCTTTACAATTTAATCCCTTAATTTAACATTTTTAATTTTGAATATTACTATTGGTTATTTACATTTGTAGTACCCAACATATTAATTATTTACATTTGTTTCCTTAATCTTTTGTTAGTTTTATAATTTGATCTTTAATTTTATTAATTTTATTATTTTAATATTTTATTTTTTTATTGTATCTAAAATTTAGGGTAATACTATTTTGTACAAGGAATCTATAAAAATATCCCCTTAATTGAATAGGGAGGTATTTTCGAGGATTATTCGTATAAAATAATATCCATTTTGTTTTTCTAAAAAAGTATCATAATTTAAATGTTATTCGAATTTGTCAATTTTAATATAGAGATGATATATAATCGTGTAAGTACCAATTTTGAGCGTTTTTTGAGTGTTAATCCTTCCCCACACGTAACCGATTCCCAAACTTGTTTTCAAATAATTTCTGGTCAAACCCATATCAAATTTTTATCTTTTAAAATTATTTTTCTTAAAATTATTTTAAAGGGTATTTTTAGGTATTCGACTTACCTAACCCAAAGGTTGATGGCGACTCCAAACTAATGTATTTGTTGTAAAACCCAACATGTTCCCAAAATTAAGTTGGATCAATTCCCTAAAAAGCCCTAAAAACCCGACGGGGACCGTTTCGATTCTAATCATAATCTTACCTAAATGGAGGGAAAAGAAGACTCTAGGAGAAAGGAGGAGAATGTTCTTAATGGGTATAGAATCCATGAACTAAAAGAATAAAAAAAAAATAAAGATGAATAGTTTAACCAACCGATCAAATATAATCGCTATGATTAGTTGGATGTTTGGTCAAATGGGATTTACTGATTTAAGAAGGCGGGTGATCTGGTTAGAGGTTAGTTACGAAATATAATTGCAAAAATTGTTGGCGCTTGAGATAATACTCTATCAAACAAGTACAGTATCCTTTCATTTTTCTTAAACAAGGCAGAAAAGTAAGGCTATAATAGATTAAGAAAACTGGAACACACAAATGCATGAATGCAGGGCAAATTTATTATTTGAGTTGTTGCAGAACGTAGAGGTATATAAATCCTTTTTTTGCACAAAATGTTGTTTCCTTTTAGTCCATTCAATGTGCATGTTTCGGTTAAGGAGGAGAGGCAGTTTTATTTCTCCCTCCTATTGATTTTCTTGTGCCACCATAGTTGTCGCCGCCGTCGCTACCTCCTCCCTGACCCAAACCTCCACCTTCGCCACTTTCTCCCCCACCACTCCCGCCGGCGGCTCCTCCCTTTCCTTTACCCCATCCGTGTCCTTTGTGGTTTCCACCATCACCTCCTCCTTTTCCTTTCTTGTGTGGCTTACCGTTTCTTCCACCATAGTCACCTCCACCTCCACCCCCTCCCCCACCACCACCACCACCACAACTACAACCGCCTCTTCTTTTTCTTTTCCTGTGTGGTTTACCTTTTCCTCCACCTTTGCCACCGCCACCCCCACCCCCTCCACCACAATTACCTCCTCCTCCACCACCACCTCCACCTCCCCCACCTCCACCACCCTTTCCTCCTTTCCCAGCATGATGGTCAATATTACTATTGCTTTGGACTAAAATTTCAACAGAAGAATTTGTGTCCTTGTGTTCTACATCCTCAATAAAGCTATGTTTTTCACTAGAAATATGAGTGGTGGAATTAGAATCGGACCACCCTACAACCCCATTTTCTCTCTCAAATCCATCATCTCCATCAGCTCCACTCCGGCAGCTGATCAACAACACCGCCACTACAAACACAACCCTAGCTTCTCTTCTCATGAACATTTTCTCAACTTGAGAATGCAGGATTTATACCCACACCCTTTCCTTTTTATACTCTTTCTTTGCCCTCGGAAAAAGGTTAAACCATACTAAAAATGGTTGTCCCTTGTTCCCATATGTAATGGGGTAAGGGAGAGGTAAGATAGTAGGCTGCCCCCAACACTAGGTTGAGAGCAACTTCCGTAGGAGACCTCCAAATTATGAAATGCCCTCCATGAGACTCGATCCCACGACCTCAAGGTTAAACACCCCACAATGTTCCCTACAACTACGCCAAAAAAAATTAACTACTAATACGTATAAAGAAATTTGAATACTACGTCCAAGATTCAAGTTTCGTTGCGGATGAAGTAAGTTGGAACTGGTAGTTAACTCGCATAATAGATTACTTGATCCAATCCAAATTAATCAATCAATGAAAAAGATACCATAACTAAATAAAAATGTTCATATTTTCTTCTCAAGTAACTATGAAATTCAAGCAAAACCACCCAAAGTAAGCACCCTAAACCTTTTGAAACACAATTTCGTTGCTTTAGGAGATTTGACAAAATGGGTCATGTCTTCTAAAAAGTTGGGATCATCCAAGTCATTAGTTAAAAATAATCTTGGAGATCCAAAAGAATAATGGGATTTGTGGTAATAATATGAACTATTAGTTAGTTTATTAGGGTGCGTTTGGTTCACATAATGTAAGATTACCAGTGGGAATAAAATATTACCAGGGAATAGGATTACTGGGAATGTTGTATTTTGTGTTTGGTTGGTTTAGCAGGAATGTAAAATTACCGTGTTTGGTTAAAGGAATAAAAGATTATTGGAATGTATATTTGACCAAATTGTCCTTATTATATATTTGTATAATATTACAAATTGTAAAATATTTATATATTTTCTTTAAAAAATTAAATTCATAATATTTATATAATTTTTTTTACAAAATTAAAAATATAAAAAATGTTTAATGAAAGGCTAAAAAAAATTTAACCCCTGAACTTCATATACAATTTTAATTATAGATTTTTTTTTTGTAAATCTAAAATAATTTAAGGATAAATTTGTAATTTAACCTTCGTAAAATTTTTATTATTCAATGACAGAAGAATGATATTTTTGAAAGAAAAAAAATAAAAATTTCAGGGCATTTTAGTCCAAAACGCCGGTAATGTTACAATACCTAAGGGAATGGAGGTAATGACATTCCCGGTAATATACCCAAAAAAATCTACTATTGGTAATAAAATATTATCGGGAATGAGATTCCCGACCAACCAAACATGGGAATGTGGGATTCCCATCCCATGGGAATCCCACAATCCTTGAACCAAACACCCCCTTAATATCATCCACACGACGAAACCAAACTTACAAAAAAAATGTTACAGGTTTCATAGGATCATGTCAAAGCAGCACAAAATTCATTTTGACATCAAGAGTTTAGATCATCTTCAAATGGGGAGATTTAGATGAAAAAGATTCAGTACTGGGACGGACGTAATATCTTATGTTACGAGGTAAGCTTTTGAACTTGTAGGATGAGCGAATTTATAAAAATTATAGCGGATTAAAACATATTATAAATTGAAAATAAAAAATATATATTTAAAATATATACTAATTTAAAATTTTAAGGGAGTGCGACTGTTCTTATCCGTTCCTTTCTGTCCATCCTTGATTGGACCTAGGTTGAACATTCCGTTAAACATACCACGTGAGGAGGATAATATTCCTTTTGCTTGACGAATGGAACTGCTCAAGGGAATAATGCTTCATCTCATTATTTGTCCATGTGAACTTCCCATTTCTTCAAGCAACGTATTCTTTTGTTCTTTATCATTCATCCTTTCCCAGTTGAGTCATGAGTGAATGCTAAACTTTTGGTGTAAATACATAATTGCCTCGGAAAATTCAGTCGGCCTTGTTTCGGCCAACAGGTGAAAATCATGGGTTTTTTTTGACAGATTTAAATAAAGGTTTCGAAGTTTTGTTAAGAGGATGAAGCCCAGAATCGGAATTAATATTTGAAGCCCGAGATTTAGGTCATGAAATGATAAGAATTTTGTTGGATGCCAACACAAACGGACCGGATAAACCTAAAAATTCAACCTATAATAATAAATATTGAAAAAAAAATTATGAGTAAACAAAACTAAATTTATTTATTTGAAATTATACTCTTGTATTAAGCTCAACAAACTATCTAATAAATATATTAAATTTTAAATGAAATGATTTAAAATTTTATTAAAAACTAAACTATTTACGTGATAATTTCTACGAACATTTTTAAATGGAAAATCATTACTTTCAGCTGATGTAATTATCAAATGATATAATTAAGAAGATTCGATAAACAATTGTAACACTAAACATTTGATAAACTTAAGAATTTCAAACACTAATAAAAATCATTTGACAAAGTCGTTTTCAACCTTTTAAATTTAGGGGAAAATTCATTTGTATCAGTATCAAATAAATTATTATGAAAACTTAATCTTAAAGTTTATTTAAAATTTTTGTAATTCATCACTATCTTAAAATTCTAACCTACTGGATTCAAATAAATTTAATTATTTAATTATTCAAATAAAAATCCAAACCGGAAATTACATTCAAAGTCACAATATTTGTAATGCATTCCAAAAAATCTAAATATATTATGAAATAAATTTATTTTTTAAAATTTAATTTTTTAAAATTTATAATTAAATATATAATTATTAAAAAATTATTAAATTGTAATTATATTTTTTCAATTATAAGCCATAAGAAAATATCCCACCTTGAATTTATTGACTATCATATATTAGAGTTGAGTCGAATTAAACACTGCTAAACTTGCAATTAAATCATTCGATAAATCCCTTAATTATATTAAATATAATAAAATAATTATTTAATATATTAATGATCAATTTTTTAAGTTTTACACGTGTACTTAACTATAATAAAATATGGTGGAACACGTATGAAATACTTAAATTGAAGTAGGTTACCAACCCAGTTTATATATATATATATATATATATATGCAATAATTTACACGTGTCCCATCATCACAAGAAAGGAATTGCGAGGTGGAGAAATTATAAGGGAATTTTACAGTACAACAGCTTATTATAAGATTAATATAAGGCGTGACTTAAATATTATAAAGTAATATAATAATTTAGGTTGTGCACAATTTAAAATAATAATTTTTTAATTTTTTTATTAAAAATATATTTTAGGTTGTAATCGAAAATGTTAAAAAATATAATCTTTTAAGTTACGCATAACTTAAAATATTATGTTGTTTATAATATTTTAATTCACACTTTAAAATATTTTAGATCATATCTTTCTTTAATCTTATATTAGACTGCGATACCTCAAAACTCTTCAAAATTATTAAAAAAAAGGAAAAAAATAACTCATGAAATTTGACAGTTATCACATCATTATTAATGTAAATTGTTCATACTTATTCAAAACATTAAATGTTGGGTAGAAAAAAGAATCTACTAAATATTTTTTATATGAACTATTATATAAGGATGATGAGAACATTATGTAACCAAAAGTGGAACAAGATTGTCGTAATGGATTTTTAGAACCGGGTTATACGATGTTTTTGAAAAGATAAAAGTCATCATTAATTATTTTTAAGGTGAGATTGAAATACCAAAAATCGGATATTCTAATAATTTTTTTGTTTTAATAAAAAAATTAATGTTTTGATTTACGAAATCAGAAATTAAGTTCGAGAGTCAGTTATGTATAGAGAAATATTAACACCCTACAATACCAAAAAATTGGTATATAATCGATTCTTCTATGTTTTAAAATAGAAAGTTTTAAGTTTGAAGCTTTATTTAGTTTAAAACCCATTATATATGCAAAATTAGAAAGATTATTAATTTATTAGGACCAATAACGAATACTCCGTATTCAAACACAACGGAAACTTCATTATTAATCACAATAAATAATTATTGCCTAATAATTTAAAAGTTGTGGTATGAAATTTTAAAAAAGATGTTGATTTACTTCGAGAATAAAAATTGGTCACCCTTAGGCATAATGTGAAAGTTACACTATTAATCCCTAATAAATGAAAATTACCTTGTTTTGAAATCAAATTATGCAGTCAAACAACCAAATATTTAACCCAATTATACTAGAATGTTATCGAACAACAAACTATGAATTTTATAGAATTTAATGGACTAATCCTAAAATGCATGCTCTAACATTAAAACCTTATGGTTTTTAGCAATTTATTGAATCAAACAATTAAAAAGAAACCCCGATAATAAAAGCGATTACAAAATTAAAAATTCTCTTAAATTAAAAGACTAAAAATGAAATTAAACCTAAGACAAAGACTCTAATATTAATCCTAATCAATTTTTTTTAAAAAAAACTCACCTAAATTAAATGACTAAAGTAAAATTAAACTAAAATGAAGGCTCTAATTATTGAATCAAATAATTTATATGAAACCTTAGGCATAAAAGCAATGACCAAATTAAAAATTCACCTAAATTAAATGACTAAAGTAAAATTAAACTAAAAAGAAGGCTCTAATTATTAATCCTAACAAATTTTAACAAATTATTGAATCGAATAATTAAATTGGATCCTCGGGCATAAAAGTGAGGATCAAATTAAAAATTCTCTTAAATTTAAAAGTTTGGGGATTAAATTAAAAGGAACATATATTTAAGGATTTAATCTAAAACTTAAGCAATTAAACTATGACCAATCTAAAATTACCAAAATACATATTAATAAAATAACTTAGAACTTAAAAAGGATTGAATTGAAATAAATTAAAACATATAACTTAACAATAAATTATTAAGGTTCAAATTATTAATAACATTAACATTTATGTGTTGATTTTTTTTTAAAATACAATATAAGATTTTCATGTATTTAAGGTTCAAATTCTATTTTGATACTTCAATAGAGTTAAGTTTAAGATTTTTTTCATTTCGATGCCTTTTCGAGCTTTTACG